AAGTGCTGGCAGCAGCTCTTGTTCCTTTGCTGAGACTCACCCCCTCCCTCAAAGAGCCAGCAAGTGAGCCCCATATTTGAATCTCCATCCTAGCTCACACTGTGAGCCTGACGCTGGTAATTCCCTCAGACTCAGTGCCATCCAACTTGCAGGCTCACCCAAGCCCTTTCCAGTGGCTTTTCCATACAAACAGTCTGTTTGGGCTCATGATTCAAACTTCCCTAAAATATCTCAAATGTTCACAAACCAAAAACAAGCAGCATCTGGCTTCAGTGTGCTCTATACCTCTTACTAAGTAGCCCCAGATGTAGCAGTAGTGGTGGCCAGCCTTGAGACCTCCTAGCCCAGCACAGGTAACAGCCATCTGCAGATTGCTTTGTACCTCATGCCAGATGACCCTGGGCATGGTACAGGCAAAAGGTGATCTTGGGCCTGCACCTACTAGAGCTAGTTTATTTGGTGGCCAGCTTCAGGAGCATCACCCAACTTCCACCGGAAACACACTCAATGGGCAGACTCATCATGCACCAGAGTTCAGATGAAGTGAGATCTGCTCTGTGGAGTTGGATCCTGCACAGCAGATCAGGGCCAATCAGGCCTGTCTCACCTAGTTCCCTGTGCTGTGGTTGCTGCCAGTCCTCACAGCTGATTGTCCTGGGGTTAAATCCTTCCCAGTGATGTGCCAACATCAATCAAGGCTCACCTATAACAGAAGGGTGCACACAGCCCACAAGGGGGCACGCCTGGAGAGCCTAGCTTGGGTGGCAGGGGATGCTGCATCCCAGGGCTCTACAGGACACCTACTACAGAGGGCTACTCTACCAAGACTGGTAGACACAGCAGCTCTGCCTAATACATAGAAACAAACATAGGGAGGCTACCAAAATGAGAAGAGAATGAAACTTGTCCCAAACTAAAGAATAGAACAAAACTCCAGCAAAGGACTAAACAAAACAGACCAGCAATCTACCAGCTGCATAGTTTAAAAACACTGGTTATGAGAATGCTCAAATATTTCAGTGAGAACTTCAACAAAGAGTTAAGAAACATAATGGAGATAGAAAACATAAAGAACCCATCAGAAATGAAGAATTCAATAACTGAAAGGAATTACAGGGAATTAACAGTAGAGTAGATGAAGTAGAGAATCAAATCAGGGATTTGGAAGATAAGGAAGCAGAAAACATCCAATCACAACAGCAAAAAGAAAAATGAATCCTCCCCCGCTTCCTCCCCAAAAAAAGAAAAAGTCAGGACAGTGTAAGGAGCCTCTGGGACAACTTCAGCTTATTAACATTCCCAACATGAGGGTGCCGGAAGGAGAAGAGAGAGAGCAATCAATTGAAAACATATTTGAAAAAATAATGATGAAAACTTTCCTAACCTGCTGAAGAAAATAGAGGTACAAGTCCAAGATAGATAGTACTTTACAAAGTGCCCATCACAGAGCACAAGGACTCCACAAATGTTTAGGGGCTATTTTTATACACACCTTCAAATCTGAGTCCAGGCTGAATGAATCAAATATATTATGTGCCTTACACACACACACACACACACACACACACACACACACACACACATATACACACACACACACACACTCACACCACAGATATTTGTTCTAAGATGAGCCTAAATGAAATATTGTCACCAAAATATTTAGGTTCATATTCCTTAAAACATGACCAATAGAATAAATATAAAAAAGAACATTCACCTCACTAACACAAAAGTGAAAATTAAAACAGGAATTTTTTTCATTCATCAAATTAGCAAAGATTTTATAATTATAAAGATGTCAGGACTATGAGGTAAAAGGCAGGTATTCTCATCTGCAATAGTAATTGATACAATGTTTCTAGAAAACACTTGGGAGAATGTATCAAAAATCTTAAAATATCTCTGCCATTTACAGTTTTACATATCTTTAGTAGTATAAAAAAAGAAAAACTGAAAACATGCTTAATATCAATCAAGATGAGAATTGAGTAAATTACATGCATCTGTGAGCAGCGGCAGCTATAACAAGATTTCTGAAAACATGGGGAGAGGATCATTATGTACAAGTATATAAGCTATATGACCCCAATTTTTTTTTTCTTTTTTTAAAAAAGGTAACCAAAAAACGTAAAAAAAAAAAAAAAAAAAAAAAAAAAAAGACAGAAAAGAAAGCAGAAAATTCACTACACTAGACCAATAGTTTATTTATTTCTAGACTTGAAGCCCAGTGTACAGGTGGGGTTCCTTGGCCTGGCCAGTGATCAGGGCCGATCAGGCCTGTCTCACCTCGTCCCAATCAGGACCAAAGGGGGCCGGCCGGCCAGGGAGAGGAAGTGGGAGGGCTCTAGGGCATGTCTGGTCCTCTTGCCCAGTCCTGATCAGCTGGATCCCAGCAGCAAGCTAACCTACCAGTCAGAAAGTCTACCAGTCAGTGCACATCATAGCACCTAGTCGAGTGATCTACCAAACAGTCAACTGATTGGTCGGACCCTTACCATATTACACTTTTATTATATAGGATTGTGGGATTCTATATTATTTTTGTTTATTCTCTATAACTTCTTATTTCTATATATAAAAGCCTAAGTAACTAGCTGACCAGCTGATAGTTTGACCAGCCGGTATCTGTGACACACAGTGACCACCAGGGGGCAAATGCTCAATGCAGGAACGGAAACCACAGGCATGGAAACATAGAACTAACTGATGAATCTCAGAGGGAAGGGAGGAGGGGAGAGGGTGGGAAGAGATTAATCAAAGATCTTATATGCATACTAGAGGCCCGTTGCATGGATTTGTGCACCGGTGGGGCCCTTCCACCTGGCCTGTGGGTATTGAGCCAAAACCGGCTCTCTGACATCCCTCGAGGGATCCCAGATTGCAAGAGGGCACAGGCCAGGCCAAAGGGCCCTCTGGTGCACAAATCGGTGAACCATGCCTTTATTACTATACGAAGTATTCTAAAGTGATATGTATTACATTTTTAGTCCGAAAACAAACTTATACATCTAATTTTGTCCAAACATTGCTGACAGGAACAGTCACTCCTGGTTCAGTTCTCTAAAAATAATATTACTAATGAGAATGCCATGATCAACGAACTGAAGTCAATCCAAATGAAACAAATCACACTCTGAAATGACTATGTTCTTAAAGAAAGACAAGTCCCTACTTTAATTATATGACAAAGGTCTTTAGGCAGGGGTTTGCCACCAGGGTTCAAGGCCTTCCCTAATATCAGGGATGACTGATGAGGTCTTGATGCTATACCAGTCTTTTGCTTGACATAAAAGGCCTTTTGAAATTTTAAGAAAATTTCCACAGAAATTCTAGACACCGTTTTGAAAGTGAGAGTTGTGACATAACTTGACAGTTGTCACTGTTAGCCTTTTACTTCCCTTTTTGCCTTTGAAATCACAAAGCATTTCCAGAGTGCCATCCATTGAACAGAGCCCTTAAATATATACCCAGACATCCCTTTTTCATTTTTATATAATCATTTTAGATATACATGCCTCAAGTTTCCAAGTAAGAGTAAAATTCATGAAATTTACAACAGGCCACTCGGCTATAATATTTACTAGTTTTCACTGGTTTTAAAGGTTGCAGAGTGAAATAAATACATATAGTCAGCATTATTTACTCCTTGACATGCAAAAATGTTCACTGGCCTTTAATAACTATTTCAGCATACTATTGGAAGGCAGAGAATATATCTTACAGACTAAAGGTTTAAAAGTTTAGAACGTCACCTCAATTTAGTGAATTTCACTAATTTAGTGAATTTCCCTTACTAAACTGGTGTGGAAACACAATTGACCCTTGACTAACACAGGGGTTAGGAGAGCTGATACTCTCACCTCGTGTAAAATCCACATATGGTCCAGCTGGCATAGTTCAGTGGTTGACCAGGAAGTCATGGTTAAATTCCGGTCAGGGCACATGCCCAGGTTGTGGGCTGTGGGCTTGATTCCCAGTGAGGTGTGTGCAGGAGGCAGCCAATCAATAACTCTCTCTCATCATTGATGTTTCTCTCTCTCTCCCCTCCCTTTCTCTCTGAAATCAATAAATATATATTTAAAAAATCCACATATGACTTTAAACTTCCCCAAAACTTTACTAATACCCTACTGTTGACCAGAATCCTTACAGATAAAATTAACAGTTGAATAACACATATTTTGTGTTATATGTATCAAATACTATTTTTATAATGAAGTAACTAAGAGAATAGAAAACGTTATTAAGAAAATCATAAGGAAGAGAAAATACATTTACAGTATTTCCTGGAAAAAAAAAATCTACATCTAAGTGGATCCACATAATCTAACTTGTGTTGTTCCAGGATCAAGTGTACTGGTTGAGTATAATCATCAATCAGAATGCACACCTTTCTACTTCACAGCGAGAATCATACATTATTCATGCTACATCTGATGCTGCACCAAGATCTGCCCTGAGAAGTTTAGACATATGGCTATTACAGCAAAACATGATCAAAGAACATCCCTCCCTCCCCCCGTGGCTACTTGCAGAATTGCACAGTAAGGATGACAACATGGTTCAAACTGGGCTTTTTCAAAGATGCACACATGTATACAGAGAAGTTCAAATTTGGAAAATGAAGAGAGGGAAGTCTTAATGCTCAGAATTGCAAAATCCCACTTAACAGTATAATGTAGGCTGTGGATATCTCTTCACCAATAATGTGTGTGTAAATGCTCTGTAAACATCAAAACCAGCACGAGTTTCAGGTATATTATTAGAATCCCCACTATTCATTCTTTAAAAAAAAAAAAACTTCTTAGGAACTGCAGCAAATTAAGAGGGACAATATATACTTCATGGAGAATATTAATATTAAGACTGTATATTCTTATTTATAATATTATCAAACTTCCTAATATAATTTAAATAGAATATTTCACCAATATTGCCTCCTAGAAGTGACAATTTTATCACTAAAACATAAATGAAAATAGAAAACAAGTACTTACTCACAATACCAAATTGTCCCCAGAACAGAAGCACAGCCAACATTGGGAAAATAACAATAAGGATATTTTCATTTGGAGAAAACCATGAAACTGGGGAAAAAGAAAACAGAAATCATGATTAATATTTATTATCACAACATTAAGTCCTGCCAATTGCTAGTTAAAAAAAAACTAGTTAAGTGTTTTCCAGCACATTTTTCCTAAGCTGTGATTTATGGAAGGAGGTAGTATACCCCAGTTGAGAACAGGGCTGCGTTTTGAAACCCAACTGCCTGCGTTTGAAACCCAGTTCTAACTTACAATCTGTGTGATCTTGGACAGTCTAACAACTCTCTATTCTTCAGTTGTTATACTAGTACAACAAGTAATGACACTTTGAATGACTATTGTTAATTGTTAAGAAAGTTAAGACATGAAAAGGGCTTAAAATAAAGTACTCGGTAAACATTAACTACAGTTATTATTATGGGCTCCTACTGTTACGCCTAAATATGTAAGGAGCCAACAATTTACCTTAAAGCAAGTGTTGCCTTCTTGTAAAGATCGACTAAAGGGGATATAAGTGAGGAAGTAGTATAACAAGGTAACCTAAACTTGGTCTAACTGTGACCTAAGACTGAGACAGATGTGAGCCTGAGCTTTTCTCAAACTTACTCTGGAACAGAAGATGTATTCTTAAACAATTAGTCTTAAAATGACTGCTGACAAAAAGTAACATGAAAAGCTTTAGGTAGTAAGGAAGCTTTTATTAAGTGGGCCACGTGTTAGGAAATTGTGATATTAAGTCTTCCAATGAAATTTGTCGAGAACTTTTAAAAATTAAGTTTAATAGTGTCTAATCAATGCTCAACATCATATTTTTCCTATGAAATTTTTCTTGTAACAATAAAGCCAGGTAAATACACTGAAAGCATTCCAGAGTTTGCCTAGACTGGAGGACTTGCTGGGTAAGGAACACTCTGAATAGCGCACAAGGCAAGCACTGGCGTTGTTCTGAAATTATCCCTTTCAAATCCTCCCCTGCATCCCTATGTGAGGAATCTTATGGGCTTTCTCACCACAATGCTAGTCAGACATTTCTTGTATTAAGCTTATGATGAACTCTGGTAAATGTTCACAATCATCCCCAGAATATAACACTGTCATTTCCTATTTTTGAGAAAGTAGTTTTCCAAATTCCAGCATTTTGCCCTGTACATGGCAGAGAAACTCAGTAGGTTTACTATTGGTGGTTGAAACAGCCATAGGACAGTTTAGCGAGTGAACAGAAAACAGGCCTTTTTGATGCTCCCATGGTTGCAGATCCACCAATGCCACTTTTATTTCCACCTGAATTACTGAACATCTTCCTATACCAAAGAAAGCCCATTTCCATTCAGCCTAAAATCCTATATGAAAAAACTTTCTGAATTATTCTTCGGTTTTCATATGCCTGAAGGATCTGATAAAAGCTCCATGATTTAATGACTATTATTAACCAACTTCTTTTCCTCTACCCACTTTATTATTTTGTTTTTGAGTTGAAAACATTAACTTATCAAATCCTTACAATTCTGAGAAGAATTATGAACCCCTCCTTACCACTGAGAAAACTAAGGCTCAGTGAACTGAGGATTTTAAGTTTTCATGTTCCAAACTGATTCTCGATACCCCTCTACCCACCCGCGTCAAACCTCTCCTCGTGGTTTTTGCCATCTCAGTAGTGGTAACTCCATTTTTCCAGTAGCTCAGGCCAAATATCATGGAGTCATCTCTGGCTACTTGGTTTCTCTCACACCTAACATCTGATCCCACAGTCAATTCTCTACCTTCAAATACAGTCAGTATCTGATCTTTTGTTCAAGATCAGCTGACAAGGAAATGTTCTTTCACTGGCCTGTGCCTCTATAAGGAAACAATCTTTAACAACCTTACGATCTACTCATGAAAGTAAGAGGAATATTTGACCCAGGTCTGGACACTCATTTGGCACTTATTACACAAACATTTATTGAAAGTCCACCATAGCTAGGATACTCTTCTGGGTATTTGAGGTCCAGCAGTGAACAGGGCAGATGGGTCTATGAGCTTGAGGAATGGGAGTGGGTGAAGTACAAACCTGGGTAGTAAGGAAAGGCCTCTGGGAGAGGAACTGGATCCAGAGCCTTAAATGGGAAGGAACCTGCCATGAAAAGAGAGGGAAGAAGAGACTCCAAAGGAAGAGCAACTGAGAAATCAATGTGGCTAGAATTTAGTGATACAAAATGAGTGACGAGACCTGGAAGAGTTTGCTGGGGCAAGCTCATGTAAGGTCTTAAGAGCATGTTAAGAGAGTTTGTATTTTACTCTAAGACAAGTGACTGGAAAGGCTCATTAAAAATCTTCTTTGGCCGAAACCGGTTTGGGTCAGTGGATAGAGCTTGGGTCTGTGGATTGAAAGGTCCCAGGTTTGATTCCTGTCAAGGGCATGTACATTGGTTGTGGGCACATCCCCGGTAGGGGGTGTGCAGGAGGCAGCTGATCGATGTTTCTCTCTCATATCGATGTTTCTAGCTCTTATCCCTCTCTCTTCCTCTCTGTAAAAAATATCAATAAAATATATTTTAAAAAAACATTCTTTGGCAGTCATGTGGACATTAAATCCAAAAGAAGTGGGACCTATCAGAAAGTTACGGTAGCCATTTTGTAGAGGCAGGAGCTAGGACATGGCATCCACAAATGCAGTTCTGACTCAGTCTTACTTACCACATTTTGTTTCTTTATTGATTAAGATATTACATATGTGTCATTATCCCCCCATTCTTCTTCACTCCTCCCCCCACTCCCTCACTCATGCCCTCACTGCCCTGGTTAATAAACAAGGAATCATTCCAAAGGAAGATGAATGGAATGAGGAATCCTGAAAACAAGAGCAAGAGTTGAAAGAACTGGGTATTCTTATCTTGGAGAAGAATAAACTTGTGAGAGAAATACTATAGCCCTCCTCGTAAGTGAGAACTTACAGGGCTGCAAACTTTAGCTTGAAGTACAAAACTGGAACAGCCTGATAAGAGACTTTTAGGAAGTAACAGTCTCATCTTGCCAAGTATATAGGTAAAAAGCTTAAATGACCAATTACCTGGAGTTTGATAGAAGCAATCCCTGAATTAGATGGCAAAATAGCCTAGATGACTTCAAGCTTCTCCAAACAGAAATAAGTGTGAGAGATACTCAGTGACCGAAGAGGGTGGGATTACAGAACACAATATATGGTCTAAGTGATTCTTAAATCAAGCTTATCAGAATCACCGGGGGTTTATTCAAACTTCACATACTTTTTAGTATCAATTCCACCCCAAGATTTGAATATATTCCTCATGATAAGTGTATGTGTATGCTTGTGGGTGTTTTGTTTCTTTGTGTGTTTTTTTGGGGGGGAGGTGGTGTTGCCATGATTCTCTCAGTTTAAAATCACCTCTCTAAATCTCTGCTGTAATTCATATGAATGTGTTACCTGCTTCTAATGTTTAAGGTTAGAAGAGTTGGAGGATCATTGAATTGGATGTTCAAAAACCAAATGAGATATGGGGAGAAAACCAATGTTTTATATAAAACCACTTATATTCCCATTAAGCTATTGAGTTGGTATGGTAGTACTGTCAGATGACTTTTACTCTTGTTACCCAATGGGAGAAAAAGCAAAACAGTTCTCTAAGGTTCCCCTGAGCTCTAAATTTCAATGGCACTAAAAAGAATAAATAAAGCTTAAAAAGGACTAAGAACTATATCAGATAGTCTTCCACCTCAGGATTAAGAAAAATAAACCAAGGGCATCTATGCTGTCATTCCACTCACTCTATCTCTGACAACTGTGCCCATTACTCTCTCCCAATTCCTGGACAAGTAGAGTGGCTCCCAGGAAGATATACTCCTTTAATGAAAAGGCAAAAGAAATGTTATTAAGAGATCAATTAATTTTTGTTGCCAAGCTGAAGTATTATAAAAGAAAAACCCACTACTTCATTTCTCTTACTACTGTGTACAAAATGAGATAACCAAAAAAAGTAAATAGATCACTCCAATTTAGTGGGCCGCTCTTTCAAATATATACAGGCATACCTTACTTGTGCTTTGCTTATTATGCTTCACTGATGTTTACTAATTGAGGGCCAAACCTTCCACCAACAAAAAGATTACACCTTGCTTTATTGCATTATTCATTTAGTTGTGGTGGTCAAGACCGAACCTGAAACATAACTGAGGTATGCCTTGTACATGGTAAACATTCACAAACCCAGAGAACATAAGTTACCACAAAAGGTCACAATAAAAGTTACACTAAAATTCAAGCCAAGAAAAATAAAAAAATAAAATAAAATAAAATAAAATAAAATAAAATAAAATAAAATTCAAGCCGAATTTTTAATCTGACAATTTAGGATTGTGATGGGATTTTGAGGCACTGAGTTGGCTATAGCCTCAGTTATTTAATCAAACCCAGAATCCCTGCAATCAGCCTTTCATAATTTCTTTCTCTTGTAGTACAGGTGGACCTATGAATAGGATGGATTTCATTCCCAGGATTGTTGTGTAACATGACCAAAGGGATTTTTCTTGGTGTGATTAAGGTCCTCAATCAGTTGATTTTAAGAAAAAGAGATTGCCAAAACCGGTTTGGCTCAGTGGATAGAGTGTCGGCCTGTGGACTGAAAGGTCCCAGGTTCCATTCCAGCCAAGGGCATGTACCTTGGTTGCAGGCACATCTCCAGTAGGGGTTTACAAGAGGCAGCTGATTGATGATTCTCTCTCATCGATGTTTCTAACTCTCTATCCCTCTCTCTTCCTCTCTGTAAAAAAAACAACAACAAATAAAATATATTAAAAAAGAAAAAAAAAAGAAAAAGAGATTGTCCTGGGAGAGGGCTGACCTAGTCAAATGAGCCCTGAAAAAGATCTGTGCTCTTCCTGGTATAAGAAATCCAAGATATCATGGGTATTCAATGAGACGGCGGTGTTCCTTTGCTGGCTTGAAGTGTGGCAAGGAATTGGGGCAAGTTCTAAGATCTTAGAAAAGCCCTTAGCAGACATCCAGGATAAAAACAGGGACCTCTGTCCTGTAGTCACCAGGAACT